GTCTGTTCCTAAGCCAACATGATGTAGATTAGGGCCTACTTTTTGTCTATTAGGTGTGGGAGTCTCTGGTTGACTAACTTGGTCCTTGATCCACTTTGAGTTGAATTTTGTGTAGGGTGAGAGACAGAGGTTTAATTTTGTTTTGCTTCATATGGAATTCCAGTTTTCCTAGCATTATTTGTCTCCAGGATATATAAAGAACATAGAAAACATAACACCAGAAAACATAACTCAATAAATAAATGGGCAAAGGAACAGAACAGACACTTCACAGAAGAATTAAAATCTGTCAGCAAATATATGAAAAAATGTTCAACATTTCTAGTGGTTAGAGAAATGAAAAATTAAACTACACTGGGAGTTTATCTCACTCTAGTCAGAATGACAATTATCAAGAATACAAGTAACAATAAATGTTGCTGAAGATGTGGGGGGAAAGGTACACTCATAAATTGCTGGTGGGACTTCAGATTGATGCAACCACTCTGGGAAAGCAGTATGGAGATTTTTCAAAAAATGTGGAATAGAACAACCATTTGACCCAGTTATTCCATTCCTTGGCATATACCCAAAGGACTTAAAATCAGCATACTATAGTGATGATGTCACATCAATGTTTATACAGTTCAATTCACAATAGCTTACCTATGGAATCAGAATAGGTACCCTTCAACAGATGAATACATAAAGAAAATACGGTACATATACACAGTAGAATATTACTCAACTATGAAGAGAAAAGAAATTATGGTATTTTTCAGTAAATGGATGGAGTTGGAGAATATCATGCTAAGAGAAATAAGCCAATCCTCAAAAAAAAAAAAAAAGGATGAATGTTCTTTTTGAAATGTGAATGTTAACTCATAATAAGGGGTGGGGGTGGTAAGAATAGAAATTCTTTGGATTAGACAAAGGAGAATGAATGGAAGGAAGGGAGAATGGGAATAGGAAAGAGAGTAGAATGAATCAGCCAGTACATTCCTGTGTTCCTATGTTCATATATGACCAATGTAATTCCACGTCATATACCAGAAGAATAGGAAGTTGTCTTACATGCATGTATAACATGTCAAAGTACATTATACTGTCATGTATAACTAAAAATAATAAATAAAGAATGAAATTAAATAAAATAATACTTTATAGTGAGAGACCAATAATTTATTTAAATTAATGAACGAACTATACATAATAGTAAGTGTCTTAATAGCTATTTAACAATGTATGCCATTAGTGATCACATATATAGGCACATACATCCTACATATACATTTTTATTTATCTGTCTGTCTGGAAGTATGTCTGTCTCTTTGATGTTACTAGTCCTATAATACCTTTGACCTATCATTCACTGATTCCTATATTTTCTAAAAGATATAAAGGTACAAAATATTTAGCAAAAAATCTTAGACAAGTGAAATACCAAATATTTTTCATAATTTATGTTGTAACTTGAAAAATTCATTCCAGATACTAATTATAAGATTCCCTTATATATAAGTTTTCATGTGTTGAAGCTCATGTAAACTGACTATATTCTGAGGAGGTAAATATTGAACATATCAAACATTAAACATTTAAGGTCATTACTTTACTACTATATAAATTTCATTTTATTTACCAATTAATAGATTTATTTCTATTAACAGTATACTGCTCTATTAAGTTTGTATTTGAGGGACTGCTGAAATCAAGGAGTGATGATAGGAATCATACTTAACTCTCACTCTTATGCCTGGACTTGGGTCTATTGAAGCCTAAACAAACCAAATAGGAAAGAGGGTTGACAGAAACATGTGTGAAAGGCAATATTAAAGAAAAGGCTATGGGGAAAGAACTGTTTTTTTTCACACTAGGAAATTGTTATGTGCCTTTTGTGAGTTTAAATAATTAAACTTCATCTAAGAAAACAAAATTAAACAGAAATTGTGACTTCATTGAATGTAGGGTGTGTTATTATGATTGGATGGCAAATATTTAGCTATAGCACAACACATTGGTCTTTCAGATTCTGATTTAATTGTAAATGGTAGTTTCTTAACCTCATTAAGATGCAAAATTTATACAAAGGATTGCCTGCATAATTATCAAATATTTTACTATATGTTTTATTTCAGGAAGTAAAAGGTTATGTGCAGGAATTTAATTGTGATCTGGCAATAAAAAATATTCAACAGTGATTCTAATTGTACTCACATATGGGATTTTCTCCACAAGAACTAGATTTCTAAAGGTCAAGCATTTATACTACAGTGTTATAAAATAACCATCTTGTAATATGGAGAATACACAGTTTTTCATCAGAAGTAGTCCTAATTAACTTCCTAAGGGAAATGACCAAATATATTCATCTTACACATGGAATATCAATATTGATATATTTATTCTAAGAGCATTTTTATACTGTAAAATATTTCAAAGCAAATAATTGCAAAAATTTGCATATCATCCACTCTGCACCCAAACAGCTACAGGTGACCTGGTCTTGGGTCCTGTTTCAGTTAGACAAGGCTAGAAAATGCCTCACATTATTTTTCAGTTTTACCAATATATGGGTTAGCATCCCATTTCTCCTTTGTATAAATATCTCACATTACTATTAGGAAATACTGAAAGGATTTGAGCTTCCTCAGGGAAATCCAGTGTATTTACATAAGATGATAACATTAGTAGAACATAGGTTCTTGTAACTGCTCAAGTTTTTCTATACTTTAATATTCTTGCAATTTTCCACTGAAGTTAATAAGATGATCAAACCCAAATCTCAAAAATCATACAAATACACCAACACAACACTATCAAATCCCACAACTACATTTTAATAATATAGTAAGCAGCATGAGACCAAATAAGTTAAATATCTGGAGTCCAAAATTTCTCATGTTTTTAAAGAAAGAATTAGTACAACTTGTTAGTTGTCATATCTACAATTTATTCATTTTATTTTAAAACTTCAGAAAAATGAGCACTTTTCATATCTTTGTATAAAGCCTGTATGAGTTGGTAAAACTAAAAACAAGGCTTCTAAAAAACACACATGAAAGACGAATATCACTTGTGTAGATATATGAAAAGGCTTGAAAAATTATAAAAGTAAATTTTATTTGTATTTCATGGGTCAATATAATTATTTTCTATTCTTATTTGAAATATTTTAAATTGTAAAGGTTAAGATATCATTTATTACCTTCTTAATGCCAAGCAAATATCATGTGTAATCATAATATGATCTAAATTCCACTGAATCCATGAGTAAGACAAGGATGTTCATTAACACTAATTATGTTCCTTCATCCAATAACTGGTCACATTCCAACAAACAGCTACGTAAAACCAACTGTTTTAGTTAGCTTTTTCCGATGGTGTGATTAAAGCACCCAACCAGAACAACTCTAAAGGAGGTTTATTCAGGGCTCATGATTTCAGAGGTCATAGTCCAGAGAAGGATGGCTCTATTCCTTGGGGCTAGAGGTGAAGCTGAACATCAGTGCTGAAGAATGTGGTAGAAGGATGGGGCTTACAGGATCAATAGGATATGAAGAGTGCTCATTTTTCTGAAGTTTTAAAATAAAATGAGACATCTCAATAGTTTGAAAAGATGCAAAAATTCCTTAGGTTTTACTAAAACTTAGCACTAGTTTCTTGTTTATGAATACTTTGCATTTTGCAGGGAATTTTAAGATACAGTTTCATTCCATTTGCCCTTCAAAGTTCAGCTCAAATATTACATTCTCTGATCCCACAGGCAAAATTATTGAACATCTATCAAGACAGATTCTTGACTGAATTTTTACAAGTAGTTTCTACATCTTTTGAATTAAAAATCAGGACCCACTAACCCTTAGAAATATACATTTTTTTACAACTTATCATGATATTTTTAACATTGATAAAACTATATTATCCATGTATTTAAGATTTGTAGATATGACAACTAACAAGTTGTACTAATTCTTTCTTTAAAACTCTTTTTAAAATGTTAACAAATTCATGTAGGAAATAAATGAGTTCCTATACAGAGGGAGAGAGACAGATTGGAGGAAGTGAAAGGCAGAGCAGGAAACAATCAAGGAAAAGAGTAAAGGCGGGGAGAATACAATGGAGATGAAGCCAGGTGGAAGACAACAGGTGGAGGAAAATAATTGTATGAAGAGAGAGAAAATTGATGGATTAGGAGGCATCAGAAGGGAGAGACTAGGAAGAGAGGATGAGGGGCACCAAACTGCCCCCAAAATATTCTGCTTTTCCCCTCTCCCTGGGAAAATTTAGAGACATCAGCTCCTTCACATCTCTGTGTGAACACTTTAGAAGTCAGACTAAATATTTTGAATTTAAGGGAAACCACAGGATTTTTTACAACTCAGTGAGAAAAGATAGATCTTGCTGTTAATATGACCTCATGAGGCTTATACTGGATTTTATTTAAATAATAAAGAAAAATATCATATATTTAATAACAAGTCAGAAATGTGGGTCATGCCAATCATACACTATACAGTATGGTATTGCGTGTGTGCATATGTATGTATGTATAGTAGAACTATAAGAATAGAATATGACAAATAAATATTAATGATCATACAATGTACTCTTAAGAGAGTAAATGATAAATCATTCATTGATTATGTGTGTACAAATACAAACATATATGTACATGCTAAGAGATCATACATAGAATATCAGATGATATCTCTTAGTAATAATAAGGAATAGTTCTACTAGTTCTTTCTTATATTTCATATGCATTTGTAGATTAACTTTAGATGTTTATAATTTAGGAAAGATAGTTAAGGTTTTAAAAACATATATATATATATATATATATATATATATATATATATATACACACACACACATATACACACACAAATACACAAATATATTATGTTTTCAAATGTAGGCAACTATCTTTAATAATGTTAGTACATTTATGCCATTTTATTTTTACTTACAGTTTTTTTGGTGTATGGAGCAATGGGATCAATTTTTAGAAAAATTACCTGAATTTGTGCACTCAAATGTGTTTCCAGCTTCAGAGAAGTTAATCTGAATAGCCATACATTTATTCCCGTGGTATCACTATTTTCATTTTTGGAATGTAATATTTTAAGATTGTCTCCAATGACTCCAAAACCTGCAGCATATTACTTTAAATATCAAATAGGAAAATACATTTTCCAGTTTTTGATGGAATCCAAATAACTTTTAGAATTTGGTTTGTTTAATAAAGTGAAATAATATTTTATTATTATATTATTAATTTACTGAAAGATAGATATGGCTTAAAAGTGACATTATTTTCTTCCTGCTTAGCCTCTGTATGATTTTTATAAACAAAATAATAAAAAGTTTTTAAGTTATTTTAAACTATCATTTCAATGTAACAATTGCTGGAAAAGAATCATTTCATTTTAAGAATAAAATCTCTAGTTATATAAATGAGAGTCTGATTTTATTATACTAAAAGCTACCTTAGTACCACATAGCCACTGTGAATCTTGTCCTTTGTTGTACAAATGATGTAATATGTGTGTGATTTTATTTTATTTTTATCTAATTAATTTCAGGTCATAAAAATGACCTTGCCAATTCTGAAATAACATTTTTATTCTTAAAGTAAGAAAAAAAAATTGGCACTCACTGTGCTGATGCCGGCAAAATGGAAGATGAAATGCAGTTCTGAACATGTTCAGGCAAAGTTATTAGAAGATTGTGGCTGCCAGTTTTGCTCTTTGGACTTTTGGCATATGCCATTATAATCTCAATGTTTTAAGCTGCCCTTCTTAGCCAAATTTGCATGAGTAAGGATATGTAGTCAGTAATGAAATTGCCCAAAGAACAACTCTCTTATTCGAGTGAAAGCATTTTTACATTGCCAAATGAGAAATCAGACTACAATATTATCAATCATTAGATGCAGTTAAGATACTTCGAATAAACATATTAACAAAATTATCCACTAAAGACTTTTTTCTCAGGAAATACTTGCCTATATATCCAGGAATATACTTGCAGAAGAAATACCAAGTCAAGCGAATATTTGTTGCTCCATTTTTGCAGTGTGCAGATTTACAATTCTCAGTTTGTCTTTCACAGATGTTTCTTTCATATCTTTGTAGATAGCTACAGTTACAGTTGTGCAGATAGGCCATGCAGAGGGCATGCAAAGATGTACTATGATTTCCTGTGCAATTTTCAACATTGATAATAGAGAATCTGCCAAGGTAACCCAAAGAACAGCTACATCTGAAACATAAAAAGTTGAAATCTCAGTTAGTCATGAACTCCATTTTAATATGTTTAATAAGTTGCATATTTATTTTAAATTGATAGAAATAATTATTTAATAAAAGTGGATTTGGGATGAGCTTTCATAATATTCTGATAGAAAGTGTCCATTCTTGGCAAAGTATAATTTTGTTTACTGTGAAAAATTAAAAGTGGAAAGAACTTTGGTGCTAAATAGGTCTAGACTTAAATGCATGTTCTGCTACTTTATTTGTATTTGAGCTAGTATAATATGAACTCTATTGATGCTAAGTGACAGTATATATGTGTGTGTCTAAAATAGATCATTCAAACTCAATCTGTCACTCAATGTAATTATTCATCTAAAATATAGCAAAAGGTCAATGTCAGGTATTCTTTATATTTTTTATTAGACCATTATACTTACACATAGTAGTTGGGTCCATTTTGACAAAGTCATATGTATGTTAGATTTGACTACATTTAAGTCCCTGTTCCATCCCTTTTTTCTTCCTCCCTCACCCTTTTCTCCTTCCTATGCTCTATTGTTTTCCTCTCACTCTTTCATTTAGTTTATGTGCTTTTTACATATATAAAAGGTTAAATTCTCTGTGGTATATTTATACATGCACAGAGTACGATTTTGATAAATTAATTCTCTAGTCCTTCCCCTTTCCTGTCCCTCTTCCTACACTCTTGATTATCTTTTCCTACTCCATATTTCTTCCCTAAATCTCTTTTTTCCCTATATTCTTGTGATATCCAATTATCTCCCACTTTTTTTCTTCATATTTTGCTCTTCCATCTATAAATGAGACACAAATTCAACCCTGGATTTTTTTAATCTGGCTTATTTCACTTAGTGTGATTCTCCATATGATTATTTTTAAAGGCGGTATTATTTTGGATTTTAAAATATCTCTACCCTTGAAGACAATTCATGGATTCATTATTATATTTTATTAAATACAGTTTTTAAGGTATGTTTAAATTGGCTTTACTATAATAGCATGCATACAAATTAATTTTGCAGTGATTTTAATTTCTCCAAAATATTTTGTTAGTGTTTTTAATGTAATTTTCTCTAATTGAATATTATGGTAAAATTATTGAAGTGGCACCCCCGCCCCTGCTTTCTCCACTTGTTAGAGTCTGTAAACAAGTCAGGATGGCGCCTGGAAAATGTTAGAGTCTATAAACAAGTCTGGATGGCGCCTGGCAAAATGCCAGAGGGAGAGGTTTGTGAAGTAATGCCAGCGAGCCATTAAGTGTGGAGATTCCTTATTGGTTGACTGATGTATCTAGTTTATGCTAATTAAGATAAGCTGTGTGGAATGTATAAATATAGCTCCGGTCCTACAATAAATGGCTCCTACTCCTGCTGTATCAACGTACACAAGTTGTTCGTCACCCCCCCGGTTATTTTGCCCAGCCAGCCGGACTGCGGCATCCACTGAAAAGTCTTAACTGGGCCTCTCCAGAAACCTTCACCCAGACTGATTTTAGGACTGTCAGCAAAAGAGTTCAATGTAGATAAATTTCCTATGTTCATGTCACCCTGTTTACTTGGCCACTAGCTGAGAAGATACCAGCACTCCAGGTGCTGGACACCCCCTTACTAGTTTTTCACAAACATATCTAGTATAGTACTTTGAAGAAATGTGCAAACAAGGCCTCTGACCTTGAGCTGGGCTTCACAGAGATGTCTACACTTTTAAGATAAGAGAAGTTACCAACTGGGCTCTGTGGTAACAGCTGGCAGGGGGAGAATAGAAAAGGGAGAAGAAGCTCTCCCCTTCTCAGGTGTTGTCCTTGAAGGGTTAACATACCCAGAACAGTGAAAGAAAAATCTACTTTTATGTTAACTTTTGCAGACTGTGAACTTCTGAGCCCCTCCCCTTACATTCTGGGTATAAAACTCTGAAACTACCTGAACTCGGGGTTCAGGGGATTAATTGATTACAGCAAAAGCTGTGCCCTCTGAACCTGGCTGCAGCCAAATAAAACTGTTTCCTGCTATCTTCAGTGCCTCATTTGTCCCTACAACACTATGAACAAAGTACTAATCTTTTTCTTGAGATAGGCAAGGTAAATCATTGGATCTTTCTCTCTCTCTCTCTCTCTCTCTCTCTCTCTCTCACACACACACACACACACACACACACACACACACACAACTTTTCAGTACTCCATTTATGTATTCAACCATTATACATTGAACACATTTTTTGCATCCTCGGTCTTGGTAATACCTTAAATGATATAGATTATAAGATGAAATTATATAGATAATTATATAGATTCTAATATAATTACACATTTTAGAATATGCTAATGTGCATCTTTTTTTAAAAAAAATATGCATATATAAATTGAAAAAGAAAGTAGTAAGATAAAAAGAAAAACCCTAAACCATTGTGATAATCTTAAGTCCAAAGTAACATTGTGAATTTTAAGCATCCTTTATCAAGTATTCAGAGAGCACTTAAGATAATCATATAGACATGTCAATGAGTGGAGATGAACAATGTCAAATCACTTTGCTTGTTATTAGTAATGGAAATTAACCTAATGAACCTAAGTCATTACACTTAGAATAAATCTATATGATGGTGTTTGGAGCTAACCAAAATGTTAAAGGTCAATTATTTCAAGTCTTTCTTCTTGTAGTTTGAAAAAAACTTAGCCATTTAATGCAAGTTTCCAAAGATCACTGAAACTGCTAATGATTGTAGTACAGTAGTAGTTGCTTTGATGTATTCAAAGCCCTGGCCTTGAAAAGAGAAACTTGATTCTAATTTCTTTACAATTTATTTGGTAAATAAGTTTCTGAGTGATCTATTTTTCTCATTTGCAGAATTTTCAATTGTACTTTCATTTCACAGAAGAGGAGTGAATGTATATATTCCTGGACAAGCATCCTTTTTGCTTCCTTTCTCAAATGTCCTTATGAGGGAGTTGCCAAAAGTGAGCAAAGTTGAGCCAGTTGAGCCAGTTGCCCCTGGCTCACACCTGTAATATCAGTGGCTCAGGAGGCTGAAGCAGGAGAATAGTGAGTTCAAAGCCACCAAAAAGGAGATGCTAAGCAACTCAGTGAGACCCCGTCTCTAAATAAAATACAAAACAGGGCTGGGGATGTGGCTCAGTGGTTAAGTGCCTCTGAGTTCAATTGAAAGAAAGAAAGAAAGAGAGAAAGAAAGAAAGAAAGAAAGAAAGAAAGAAAGAAAGAAAGAAAGAAAGAAAGAAAGAAAAGAAAAGAAAAGAAGGAGGGAGGGAGGGAGGGAGATTTATTTCCTTTAACATCCCTTCCAATGTAGGTCTGTTGTGTTAGCCTCCTTTTACCCTGTCTCATTTGCCCTTTGACCATGTTATCATGCAATAAGACCCTCACCAGATGTGAGTTTCAATCTTATACTTCCCAGCCTCCAGAACTATCAGCCAAATAAACTTATATTGTTAATAATTTGTCCAGTCTGTGGCATTCTATGATAGAAGCAGAAAGCAGATAATTGACTAAATTCCTCCTACATTTATCTCCATTAACATATCAGTGAGACAAAAATAACAGGTGAGAATTTAACAAATTGATTCTACATTTTACATGGAAAGCTAAATTTAATCAGTAAATTTAAGGAGAATATTTTTGAAAATTGTCATATGGAGGTACTAGACTAATTAGATACTACAACTGAAAACACAGAATAATTAAAGTAGATGTTCTTTGTTATCTATCAGTTGCTAATACTTAAACATCTAAAACCTACACTACCTGAAGAATATTCAAATCATTTCTGAACATTTTGGATGAGTCTCAAAAATGTACTTACAAGAAATTTGGGTACACAAACACAAATTAGTTGATCCCATTTCTGCTTTAAAAATGTGATTTTGTTACAGTGGATTGGAGGCTGGGTGAGTAATAGTAAAATCAATAAAATGTTACAATGCAAGAAATAGTGCAATAGTTCAGAAAGAAATGATTATGGTAAGAAGCATGGAACTTTGTGTACATGATGAAAAATCATCTCAGGATTCATTTTAAAAATAGGATCTACAGTTTTTACTAATGGATTAATTTTGTGGAAGAGAGGCACATTTGTAAGTTCTTCATTTAAGACCATGCAGTTAGGGACATTGACAATCTTTAGTAAGAAGGAAATTTAGCAGAAGAAATATTGCTTAGAAACAAGAAATTTATGGTTGCTCATAACAAATTTGGGAAATCACATACACACATAACTTAAAGGTCATTTGGGTATATATGCAAGTACTGTACCAGGAAAATAGGCCCAAAATACAGATGAAAATTTAGGATCAAACAGATGGTAATTGGCTTAATTCTTGTATTTCAATATTGCAATGTTTATTAATTTTCATTTTATTTAAATTTAAGATATTCAAGAGAATGCTTTCTTCTCATGTACTTAGTTTTTAATTTGATGATTTATAACCAAAAACCTAATTATTTCCAATTTTTTAATTTTTAAAATTTTGTTTTTAACAAAGTAGTCAAATTTGGGAAATCTTCAATGAATATTTATATAACTTTGTGTATTACTTTCTCATTAGCATTAATATTTCCATATCTACCAATCTACTGACCTACCTATATACATACTTACCTATTCAAATATAATTATTTATATACTTCCTGCTTATGAACACTTTTTAAAAAAAAAAAATGTCATACCTGGGTAAAATTTAATGCTCTGAAACTTGCTCTTTTCATTTAATGTTATGTCTTGGGTATTACTCCAAATTATCATATTTTATTTTCAAAGGTTATACATATTCTTTTATATGAGTATATACCCTCTGAAGATCCTCTGGTTATTCTGAAGTTTTATTTATTCCAACAACAATTACATAGCTGTGGAAGGCTTTGAACAAATATACCAGAGATATAATAATATCACTATATAATAGATTATTATATAATATAAAATATATTGTGATATATAATATAGTATGATATATATATAATATTAAAAGGGAAA